AATTAACCGTGAAGGAGAGTTGAAAAAGGTTACGTAACTCCAAATAGATGAAACCAGAAATGAATCAGAACGGAAATAGAAGATTATCCGATTAAGTGGGTCAAACAGAGTTGAATAATGAAGAAATAAGAAGGATGAAGAGTTAACTATGAGGTAGGGGATCCGCGGAATTGAGGGAAACGGTAATATAACCAACAATTACCAGGGCAGTGGCAAATGCATTACAAAGGCCTTTTGCACGCATAGGTTACGGTTAAAACGGCTAATGACAACAGCCTCGGCAAACATAAGCATCCTTGGGTTTTGAAGTTTGGGGATAATACGGAGGGCTTTGAGTTTCTCAATGCAGTGTCCGGTATCCAGTTTAATGTCGCGTCGCAGAGCTTGCGACAAGTTTTCCTCCTCGACATGACAAGCTTTTCTCTTCATTGAATCTTTGCAATCATCATCTCCTCCACGTGCACTCATCTTCAAATGACTGTGGCATCACCATCATTGTTTGGAGAAATACTGATCGCTGCCAAATTGACAATGCATACAAGGTTAGTGCCAACGCGTGAGATGAACCTATTTTTGAGGAATAAATAAAATAAATTGAACCACCATGGTCAACACACGCAGAGTGCACAATCGAACTCTGCATGCATACAGTTCAGGCATTCTAGCCTGATAAGAAATGACAAGAATGTCACTGTTATCGGTCCGCTGCCATAGCCTTCTGTCTCCAACCATGCGGTTTCGGATTCCGACCTGGAAGGCACGAGACACCCACTCTACCTAATGGCTCAGTACATTTATTCATGCTTCGTCTCCACGTCAGCCATTGGCAACCACATGGTTTCCTCCAGCCCGGAGCGGCTACAGAGCGGTGTAACAATGACTCAATAGACAATTTCCTTCCGCTTAAACTCATGTGATTAAATAAGTGTCTATACATGGTATTCTTTTAAAATTCCGACCTATAAAATGTGCTTAGACGGCTGATTGAGAGCACGCGAAAGGGAAATGATTGTTCTGGTATTTCAAACAAACAAATTCGTCTCGGAAACCGTTGACCTTGCACTGCTGAGCCATGGAATTACCCCCACTTAGACAGATGAAACTAATAACAATAAGAAACAAGAGTAATCAATTGTGATAGTCTGTTTTTTTGATTGGTTTAAAGTTAATCCAATCAACTTCGCACATTATGAAAGTAATGAAAAAAAATTAGAGATGAGGTGGAAAAGTAAAGAATAGTAAGGGGAAAAGGTCACATGATAAAATCAATGACAAAAAAAGATGGAGAAAGCTGTGTGAGGCAGTCTGTGAGAAGCGCTCGCCCGTTTGGGCACGCGCGTGCGCACAAGCACACACACACTCGGGTGTGTGCGTGTCTGCACGTGCATAACAAAAGAGAACGGAAATGAGAGAGATCGTCCCACGATAGACCACAAGGTTTATCGAATTTAGATGCTTCATGATACCTAGGTTATACATTACACATTTCGGAACAATAAGCGTATAGTTCGCCGGGGATGGGTTAGAGCAAATAGGTTTCGGTGAGCAGACTGGTGGTTGGGTTAGAGAATAGGGTACAATAGGCTAGGGAGAATAAATACCAGGGTGCAAAACACAGTAATGACCATATTCACAGCGCAAATAGGGTTCCATTGTGCACTTACTCAATATGGAAATAGCAGAAATCGAAAGCAAAAAAGAGTGAAAAAGAAAAACAGAGGCAAGAATGAAGTGGACCAATTGCGTCGATCCGGATAAGGCCCGGCACGGGTAAACTGATCACCTAGATGTATACATACACACACATAGAGAGAGAGATCTTTCGAAAGGACAACAGAAATGAGGTTGAAACAGGGGAAGAATCTGAATGAAATTGCTTCTGTCGCGAACAAATGGAAAACCAATAAAATTAGGCATCATTCATCATCATCGGTTAGAAATGCTATGGCTATGCTTTAGCCAACGAAAGAAAGTGTGTGTGTGTGTGTGTGAATGCTTATGCCAGTCGGATTGGCAATGATAACAGGGGACACTGCGTCAGCAGATACGAGACTGGTGCGGAGATAAAAACAGATTAAAAGGCAAAAGCGAAACACAAAACTGGCTCAGTATGTTGCCTACATCCAGGAGTGTGAGTGCGTCTGGGATGAATGAACCGACGTACTCATGGGCGAATTTCGAGAGCGGACAAGGAAGCACAGATACACGAAGTGACGAGATTAGCACATTGCCAATGTGAAATATTAACAACAACAACAGAACTGTCTACAGGATGCGCAAAGTTAAGAGGTCAGAGCGTGTCAGTCAATATCACAAGAGAGTACGGAAGAGCCCTTATAAAACTCGTATGGATAGCGTAGCAATATGTGTGAAAAAGATTTGGCGTCGGTAATCAATCGGTGGGAAGTAACGGAAGCTTCTGTGTTACGTATGTCTGTGTGTGTATCTGTACAAGGATATGAGTGAATTCGAAAGAGCTACAGTTCTGTTTCAAACGACAACCAATCGTGTGAATTAGCCGGTTGAGAGGATGATCGATGTGGACCGCGAGATGGGGATCGTCCGAGATTGTTGTTCAGCGGATCTCGTGGATAAGCTGATTTAAAATCACTATTCCAACGACCAGGAGGACCATTCCGAGTAACAAGTGGTGGACGATGTTCCACAACAGATCGAGGCGGATTTGTAGGTTGTATTATAGTTGGAGGCACAGTGCACGGGTCAAAACGTAGTGCTCTATGCATACAACCATTCTGTCGAGGAAGCGGGTGTGTGTACAACCGGTGTGCTAATCGACCAGAGAGTGCGGGAGTTAGTCCATTTTTACAAGTGGAAATGGGAGGCTTCGGATTCGTATTGCCGCACGGGAACTCGTTCAAACGAGTAGGTGGATCACGAGACGTTAAGGGAGGAGTCATGGCCCTTGGTGGACCGGAATTTACAGCAGGAATCATACCCAATTGTTGATAATAATAATAATAGTAATGATGGTGATAATTTTGCGGAGCGAGGTTGGCTGACATTGTTGAAGATTTCGTGGTAGATCGATAAGCCCCATGGGCCGCGGGATCACATAGACGAAAAAAATCACGATTTGTCGGTGGTTCATCCGAATGAGGTTTGATTATTGGTTCACGTGTACTACACACATCCGGTTTGGAATTCCATCTCCTTGCATGTGAACGACGCAGTCTGGATCCAACGGAGGATGAACGAACTTGTGGAACTGGATGACGAATAGGCTGTGGATTAGATGAATTTGTGTTTGTTTTGTCTTGAACCGGTTTACGTCGTCCACCAGGCGGCTTTCCTGATGCGGAATTGGTGACCTGTTTTTCTGTTTGCTCGAGCTTGTTTGTGGAGTTCGACAGCACCAGGATCCCGTTCCCATTACTCTGCCCGGTACTACGGGACGCGGGGAGCGGAAGCTGCAACCGGTCTTGTTGCGTGGTCCGAGAAGAAACCGAGGACGAACAGGATGCAATCCACTGATCTGAACCGGGTGACGGTTTCGGAAGCTCCAAAATACGACGAGGCAACGAATTCGGACGTGATGGTGTGGAAGACATATTGAACGAAAACACGCTAGTAAAGGGACAGCCGGTTCGAGTGTCTGGCGTATATTGTTGTTTAGAGTGAACTGGTGTGACGCTCTTAGGCAGAGTTGTATTAGATGGAGTTAGAAACCGATGACTAAGGGAAGTGGATGATAACTTGTCCCGGGATAAGTTAATGTAAGGACTTTCGTCGTCAACAGCATCTGATGATCCATTATGGACTGGTACGTATGGTGCTGGAGAGCGAGTTAAAGTGTGCCTACGGGAAGCGATTGATTCTCGACGCAGATATTCAGCCAAATCTAACCGGCCAATGCCATTCGTCAGATGAGTACAGTCAGACTGTTGCAGATAGTGCATGCCTTCTCGGGTGGAATCCGGTTGCGGACTTTCTCTTGTTCGTATAGCACCATTGGACTCAAAACGATCGTTCTCGCCGGATCCATTCGTATAGGCCAACACAGATTCCGGGGTTGGTGTGGTTGCGCAAGGTCTATTATCCTGGTCTAACGCAACACCGGCATTGACTTCGAGAGGACCAGGAGCCATATCCAAATGGGTACTGGATGTAATGGATTGACGCAAATGGGCTAGATTGAGAGTGTGTAACCAATTCAACACGTTCATCGGTTCCGTGTTGTGACAAATGAAGAACTTGGTGCGTTTGAGTTCAGCATACTTTGGCCGATGACTAACCTTCTTCTGCAGACTGCAGACAACGGAAATGGGAGGCAAGATGTGTGATTAAGCGACTGAGGACGAGTAAGCAAAGGCGGTAGAACCAAACCATTAGTGTATGTGTAAAACAAAACAATTTTAAGAGACAAGCTGCAGTAATCGGAGTCTATGAAGTCGTAAAGGTAAATCTGATAGGAGCAACTCAAACTTTGCAGATCTTATCTACTATGAGTACCACGTAAGTGAACACATGAAAATCGGCAAAAATGCTACAATGCTACATGATACAACCGAGCAGGGTTGACGGCAGGTGTCGAGAAAATGCCACCAAGGCCAACACACGCCTCGTTTCCACGAAACCCTCATATTTCACAACTGAATGGCAAATTGAAAAGTTCCAATGGTGTCCGCAATCCACTGGTTATTCAACAGAATATAAGCGAGGGGAGACAAATGAGCACGACGGAAAACTGCCTGAATCTCACAACTGCAAAAAACTTGGTTTTATGGATCAGCGAACATCTCCAGTCCTTGTTTGGGGGACTGGACGGCAGATGGGTACTGTTTGTTAAACTCCCGGACCTACTACACAACAATCTGGGCAGAACGCAAATAGTTAGAACATCCCTCCCACTTTGACAATATTTACCGATGCTTTTTACACGCGTGGTTGCAAAGATGCTGATTACCTGACTGTGGGATACCGTCCGATATGTTGTTCGTTTCGTCCTCATATTGAGTCTCGTTGGCTAATAACTACTGTCTTCCGTTCCTGATCCCTCTTGGATACTGTTCCTTGATTACTGTTGACAATTTCTAATATGATTCTGCATTCCTCGTGACGACAATTTGATCTAAATTTACGATCTCAAAAAAGGAAACAAATGCTATTCCACGCAGGGTGATCACCAACCCCCATGATCTTTTTGCCAAGTTTGAAGTATTCTGTCTCCATAGATATAAATATAAATATGTACATATGTACATGTACATCTACGTTCAGACCGTAAATCAAGCAAATCATTGCGTAATCTTAATCAAAAGAAAACAGTTCCATGATTTGCGTGTGGGCAGAATACTTTCAGGTTGCCCAATTCAGTTCACTTTGTACAGTTAACCACGCACTTAAGTGCGCCAGTTTTGAGTGCTGCCTTTTGGCCGCCCATTTGGATGAACAGTAGGAGAAAGACTGAAAACTTAAAAGTAGACTAGAAGAGAAAATGGAGAATTTCAGTGGACTAAGGTTGCAAAGAAATAAAGATGAACGAAGGCCACTGATTGCAATAATCCCGAGGTCCCTATTCAGGTTGCCCAAGTGAAGGAAGGTAAATATTCCTGAGGAATTCACAATTCGGCTGACCAAAGTCTGACCAGCAATGTGTCCAGTTTATCGAATCAGACGCCTTTTGGACAGGATCAAAGGACCAAGATGCCCCAAAACACCCAAGCCTGGATACTCTCGGGTTAATCAGAGCCGAATGCTACCAGGCACGTCCCCGAGTTTTGGATAGGGGGATACCTACACCGAAGAAGGTTAACTGTGAATAAGTTGTGGCATACCGCAACAAATAAGCAGTCGCGAACAAACAGCGGCGGCACTACCAGGATGTGGTGGGTTTCAGGCTGGTCACCTGGCTCCTTTTTAAAAGCCACAGAAGCCAAATAACGGTTTCGTGACAAACGTCGATGTGACCGGTCTTTTAAAACTAAATTAATCGACCCCCTCACTTCCGAGGCGAGGGGTTACTTTCTGTTGCAGTTCGCACTTGACTGTGTAAAAGCTAGAGATGCGCCCTCAAAATAAAAAACGCCAAGTGACGCTGGGGACTTCATTCGTACCAAACTCCCAAGTAACTTCATGATCGTGTCTTCTACAAGCTTTTTTACCCATGCTACGGCATACCCGGTAAGCGAAGCGCCTCGCGCTCCTCCAGTGGCCGGGGTGTCAAGAATGCGGACTAGACCTCCTCAATCTCTTGAACTTAGAAAGTACCTCTACGTGAGATGGTGAAAAGTGAGAACCTTCTTGGACGGTTAAGCAGTGACTGTGCGCACGTTACACGACGACCGCGTAGATATTGCATATTTTTCCGAAGTACGATTAGCCGGCTCCGGTTTCCGTTGCATAAAGGTTCCCGGTTCTGATAGCCACTATTATTTTTACCACAATGGCCCAGAAATTTCAGATCAACCGGGAGTGGCGTTAGCACTGAGCCAGAGCGCAAACACTGCCCTACCCACTTGGGAACCAATATAGTCATGGATCGCCGTAGCACGCTTCAAAGATAATCCTACCAACCTCGCCGTGGTAGCAGTCTACGCCCCCAGAAATAAAGGATGAATTCTACAAGGACCTCTCTCTACTGCTCCAAAGCGCTCGGTCAACGGACGTCGTGGTGGTCGCTGGAGATTTCAATGCTCAAGTGGGATCCCTGGAGGGATCA